CGCCCGCGTGGTGGTGGGGGAACCCCCCCCCCCCCGCAAACTCAGGAGGCATCAGTCACCCATGGTCAGGCCTGAGCTCAGAAGTCAGAGAACTTTAATCCTTTTCTGCATCAAGGAAGTTTATAACTTGGGGCTCCAGTTTCCTAGGCAAACCTTAACAATATCTTGTGTGCACAAGACACCAGTGAAACTATAAGATAGCTGGGAATTATGCATTATGAGCTGCCTTACTGTATCCTTCCCTAATTTTTGAGTGGTAAGCTTTGAAGCTTTAGCATTCTTGCACTGCCATGTTTTATATGTAATCATCATTGACCTCATGATATCATCCAAGCTGTTTTAGGCTTGGCAGGGGAACACAGTCCTTGACCTAAGAGCTTAAAAGCTGACATCAGTGCATCTATCCACCTCACGACTGGACTGAGTGTGATTACAACTGCACTCCTGAGGCAACAGACTGTAACAATACCTACTATGTCCATTTGTTTGACTAGCTGGGTATACAATATTTGCCACTAGAGAAGGGATTGATTTTGAGTATTTGCACTGGAACCAGATTCTAAGAGTTGCATTAACTGAATGAGAGAAAGGAAGTACTCTACCTGATTTCTATATCCAATTAAAGCACTGTGAAGGGGAGATGTTTATAGCAAATTGTTCATGGTTATTTTTCAGAACAAGAGCAATTTGCAGAAATTAACCATGGACAATCAAAACATTTATTTTTTTAAAAAGCAACTGTACTGTGTTCACAAAGTGTACAAGAAGAACTGAGAAGTGAATGATACTTTATGAATGATTCAGACACTTCTAGCATTAGGTCCAACAATCACAATAAGTCATTTTAGATAGGAGGAAAAAAAAATTAAAATTGAAATATGGTGGGAGCCACCATTTATAAAGAAATCCCATCTTGTTGTTATAGGTCTGTGGAAGTGTTAGGACAATCCAGGACCATTTGTATCCCCTTTGCAACCAACTCCTCCTCTCAGTCCCTTCAAACTGACACATTGTATTGGCGTGACAAACTGTATAGCTGCAGAGAGAGCATACTCAGGACAGGGAGAGCTCTGTCAGTGCTAGACACAGTATGCCTGATTCTCCTAGCACTTACATCAGTGTCAATCAAAAGGAGCAGCACTGAAGTTAGACAGTTCAACCAGTGCAAAAGTATTGCATGTGTGAAGACAGGCATCAAGTGATGGCCCTGAGGGAACTTGAGGTGTTCAGAGTTCCATTGCCTGCTTGCTTTTGATTACCTAATCCAAAAACTGAGTTACTAGCCAATTGGCAGTTCGGATGTCTTGATGTTATGTTTCATCCAGAGTTGAATTTCAACGTGGTTTGGATCTTTTATCCAAACTAGGTCCAGATGCGTGCATGGAGGCCACAAAGGGGCAGCCTGGGGAGGATGCAGAGGGTAGTAGTTCTGACTGCAGGCATCTGGGGAAAACACTAATAGACTGCTTAATTGGCTTCAGATCAGCAATAACTACAGACCTGGGAGAGGGGCTTAAGTGCCATTCAAGAGACTAGTGTGAGAGCCCAGAGGGACACTGCTGGTCAGGGGAAGGAGGACTAGTGTGAGAGAGACCTGGTGTAACAAAGAACCTTTACTCTGTTACTGGGAAGGTATGGCCCCTTTAAGGGCAGGGTGTTTGTAGCACAGACACTGGCAACCAGCAAACCAGGGGTTAAGAAACAACCCTGTGGTTAAGTTAGCTGACAGGGAGGGACATGACCAGGAAGGGGCAGGGCTGTAATAATATATAAGCCAGAGCCAGAGCAAGGTGAAAAAGACTTAGTGTGAGATGGCTGCTACTGATGACCTCCTGGCAGGGAGCCTTTGGAATGCAAAGAAGGAGTGCAACCAGAGGGACATGATTCGGGGTTTGGAAGAAGTGTGATAGGCAGTCGGTGGACTGGGTGTTTGTGTTAGTGCCAGAAGGCTTAAGTTTGTGTTTGGGTTTTGTCCCAGAGGATTCGGAGGACTAGCAAAGTGGTGGTTTGGAGGTCCTGATAGTGCCTGAGGCAGACACAAGACAAAATAAAGAAATGAGGAGCCAGGGAAGGCTCAGTAGAAGAAAGGAAGAGCCAAGGAAGGCTCAGAGGAAGAAAGAAAGTCAAAGACTCCAGGAGAGATGAAAAGCCTGGAGAAGGCCCATCACCCATGGAGGGGCAACAGAAAAGAGTATGGGGGTCCAAGGAAGGAAAAGGAGACAGTGAGAAATAAGGCCTGAGTCCCATACGCCAGTATGGTAGAGACTGTTAAAGACACTGCATCTGGGAAAAGCAAGGAGCTGTGAGCAAACTGAATGGTGATAGGGGCCGAAAGCCCACTGATGGATAATGTGTAGCATCTGTGAGGCATGTGCATGACTATGGGGGTAGCTGGAGGTCACAAATTAAGCCCTTAAGGCAAGAGAGGTTGGCAATTGACCACTGTAGAAGAGAGAGCACCTTAGGCTCATCAGTCCCTGCAGGCAGCCTCCCTTTCATTGAGTTTCCATCAAGACATGGCAGGTGAGAAAGCAAGGTGAGACCTTGAGAGACAAGGAAGAGAGAGAGCCTGGCAGGTTTGATATGGCTTTTAGGGGACATCACAATGCTCCTCAGTCACCTAAAATGTTACACCCAGATATAGGCAGAGAGAACAGGTTGGCTGAGGCCAATTATGGATGGAGATCCCCTACTCGGGATTAGAGTTTGAGGCCTGGGCCAGGTAGGCTGCCCCATGATAAGCAGGGAAGAGTGAGGCACCTAAAGCCACACTCTGGATCCTCAGGGTAGCCTCCCAAAGTTATATAAATAGTTATATACTTTTACCATCAAAGGAGTAGCAGAAGGAAACAGGGCAGTCCTCTGAATAGCCAGAGAGGAAAAATGGGCTTTGTATTTTATATGGCCCCTATTGGGTACCACAGCCACCTTTAGATGTGGGTGCTGATGGGCCCCTTCTCTCTCGCTTTCTCTTGCTCTGTCTCGCTCTCTCTCTCCCCCTCTGTATATGTCTCTCAAAAAATGGGGGAGGGTGTCCACAAAAACATTTTTATTTTTCATAGATCTTTGGCTTTTTATTTGCATTTCAATTTTTCTTTCCTCCGGACTAAATATTTTCAGCACCAAATTAACAAAAAGCCCACTTTTTCATATTCATCCAAAACCTTTTTTTCTTTAGACATTGGCAAAAAGAAAAGAGAATCTAAGCATTCAGTCCTTCAGTGAACTTTCAAAATTTTCAAGGCA